GTTATAAATTGTGAGTATGACCGGCCAACAAGAACAAGGAGCAGCAAATGACCCAAATAGGTTAAATCCATCTGTACACAACCCAAGACGCACATTCCTTGATTCAACTGAAAAGTGAGGATAAACACTATTAAAGTGTTTCCATGCTTTGTCGTTAGAAGGATGAACCATCACTCCATCAACTGCATGGTGTGCTGGGTGCCATATCATGTGCTTAGCAGTCCTTGGTGACATGAATAACCTTTGCAATCTAGGTGTGATCGGGAAGTATCTAAGTTTTTTATATGCCACTAGAGTCTTTCCCCTACCAGTTCTAGGTTTGTAACGGGAATGCCCGCATGTCATGCATTCGGTCATCTCAGCATTTTCAAGGTAGTATAACATGCAGAAGTTAGGGCACATGTCAATTTTCTGGTATCCTAAACCGAGGGGTTTCATCATGGACTTCGTAGCATAGAAGCTATCTTTCATCCTGTTCTCTTCAGGTAAAATGCTTCTTGCCCATTCAATAATCTTGTCATACCCGAACTCACTCAACCCGTGCTCTGATTTGATGGTGAACACCTGTGCTACGACCGATAATTTATTGTGGTTCGTGCAGCCATCCCATAATGGTTCGTCAAAAGCTTTCAATAAATCAAAAAACCTAGCTGCATCTACATTAGGTTCTTCTTCAACGATTGGACATTGACTGACATTACCTTGATTCATTCTCATTGCATCCATAACCATGTTTCTGTAAGAATTAGTGTTGTCATTCTCGTTGCTAGCATTAGAAGTAGCCCCAGCCACTATTTCTTCATCCATGATTTATATCGAACCTCTATAAAATTATGATGACATAATGTATTAATTAACTAAGTTACGTAAATAAACTTGCAAAAATATTACTTTACCTCGAGATTATCCAACAAACCAATCACAACTTCTCATAAATATTAAAAATTCATTATCATTTATCAACGTCCATACAAATTAAAATATATAAATTTACAGAGAAATTACCACTCCGCAATACCATTGACAAAACTTTAAACGGACCCAATAAGTAAGCTATTAATTATTTCAAAACAGCACATATACTTCAGTAGTTCCATAAAGTTTTAACAATTTACAAACAAATACAATCTTACAAAATCTAAAACAAACCATAACAGGTATAGAATTATACATTCATATACTACAAGTTTGTTTGACAAATAACAATAAAACATGTACATTTACTAACAAAATACATATACTAAAAAAACAATAAAATTGACATTTAATTAAATGTTAAGATTTAAAAAGAAAGAATTACTTACAAATATTAATAAAATCCGTCGGTAAATCAGAACATGGATGCTATGACCACAAAACTTAAAGAAATATAACTTGATTTGCTGATATAAGGGAAATTTTTGTTTAGGGGGATGGGGGGCTGGTTGCAGTTGGGGAGAGTTGGGATTAGGAAGAAGAAGGAGAAATAGGGGAGGAGAGGGTTGGCAGATGAACATATATTAACTTTTCCAGAGGGTTTCACCGACGGATTTTTCATTGGTGAAACCGTCGATGATTCTGACGGCACAATCATCACGTCACCGTATGGATCTGTCATTTCAAATACCTCGGTGAATCCATCGGCAATATAAACGGCGGTCGCTGTACGCCTCGGTGAATCCATCGGTAATATAAACGGCGGTCGCTGTACGACCTGTTTTTTTTTATGATGGTGACGTTTCTGTTTGTAATTCAGTCAGTAGTTACCGATAGAAAATTTCCGTCGATAGTTACCGACTGAATTACGGACAGAATATAACCGTCAGTAATTTCAACCTCAAATTACCGACAGAAATATTCCATCGGTAAATCCATTTCTATTTAGCGAATTTCTGGTAGTGATTTCCAAGTTTAAAAAAATATAAAAATTAGCACCAAACTATTTTGCTTTTTTTTTTTTGTAATTTCGTTAGAAGCATGTTTATCAACAATGTCTCCTTTAAAAGAAAAAGTTTCATTAAGACAACTTATTTTTTATTGAAAAAATATTTTCAAAGAAAATTATATACATGATTCAATAATTATATTATTTATAATTTCAAAAATTAAAAAATTAAAATCTATAAGTAGTACGGTTAAAAGAATATCCCACAATTGCATAATTTATAATTTTAGAACCTATTTTTTCTTAATAGTTCAAATATTTATTTTTGCTAAACATCCTCGTGCTTTGAAATATTTTGAAGAATATTTTTTAATTATTTTAAAATTCATATGGTATTCTATCCTCTTTTTTTTGTAAGTAACTCTATTATGAATATGGCAACACAATATAAATTTTCACATTATAAGTTATTATTAGACAAACCGAAACTAATTAGTATTGGATTAACCATATAAATTAAAATTTTATTTTTTTCTTTCCACTAACTCGTTAAAATAGGGTGAATAAAGATGTGTTACTTGGTATATAATAACATGCAATTAAAAAAACTTATTCACTTCATTAAAAGTGTACTCATCACATCTTCATATCTTAAATTTTTATTCTTTTTTCTAATTGGTTTTCTACTTTTGTTTTAAAAATTTTAAACTTATTAAACAATTCATTTTTAGAGTTAGTAAAATAAACATAATAATATCTTAAAAATTTATCAATAAAACTTGTAAAATATCTTTTACGGCCATAAGTCAAGATATTATTACTATAATAAATATCACTATGTATTAACGGGGGCTGGTTGTTTGCAGATGGGGAGAGTTGGGATTAGGAAGAAGAAGGAGAAATAGGGGAGGAGAGGGTTAGTGATTTTGACAGAACAATCGACACGTCACCGTACGGATCTGCCATTTCAAATCCGTCGGTGAATTTGTTGGCAATATAAACAGCGGTCGCTGTACGGCCTGTCTTTTTGAATCCGTCGGTGGTTCTGTCTGGAAAAATAACTCGCCAAAACCTCCACGTCAGCAACTTGTTTTTTTTACGACGGTGACGTTTCCGTTCGTAATTCAGTCAGTAGCTACTGATAGAAAATTTTCGTCGGTAGTTACCGACTGAATTACGGACAGAATATAACCGTCAGTAATTTCAACCTCAAATTACCGACAAAAATATTCCGTCAGTAAATCCGTTGCTATTTAGCGAATTTCTGGTAGTGTCCTTTCTTATTTTCATTCTGAAATCAACAATGGTTGCAACAATTTGGGTGATTTCTGGTGTTCACAATTTAACCTTTGACACGTCAAACACCTAGAAACAAAGTCTGCTATATCAGCCTTAATTTTATTTCACCAATAACACACCTTAAGATCTTTATACTTCTTGATGGAGCTTGGATGCACTGCGTAAACTGTCTGATATGCCTCAGCTATCAATTCTCTCACTAGATCATTTGCATTAGGTACACAAAGCAAATTCCTATATTTCAGTACATCATCATCACCAATCATAAAACTTGCAGCTTTACCCAATTTAACCTCATTTGTGATCCTAAAAAGCAAATCATCTTTATTCGAAACTACTTTTGTCTTGTTAAATAAGTTTGACTTAACCTGCAAGTGAGCAATTATTTCTCTAGCTTCACTAAGGTTAAATTTGACTCCTTCATCCACTAACCCATGCAACTCTTTAATTAGAGGTCTTTCGTACCTCCTAAATATGAGCTAAGGTCCGTGATGATTTCCTGCTCAAGGCATCATCAACTATATTTTCCATGTCTAGGTGGTATTGTATGGTATAATCATAATCCTTTAGTAGTTACATCTATCTCCTCTACTTTAGATTTAGATTCCTCTGCAAAAAGATATACTTCAAACTCTTGTGGTTTGTGAAGATCTCACAAGTTTCTCTATACAAGCAGTGCCTCCAAATCATTAAAGTAAGAATTACAGTCGCCATTTATAAATCATGCATATGATAGTTCTATTCACACTTTTTCAATTTTCATGAAGCATATGCAATAACCTTGTCATGTTCTATTAGAATACATCCTAACCCCATTCTCAAATCTAAAGAAACTTTTCTCATAAGCTTCAGATCTCTGACATTTAACATTTTTCTACATCAACTTAGTCAATGGTAAAGAAATCCAAGAAAAGTTTTCTACCAACCTCTGATAGTAGCTGGTTAAATCCAAGAAATTTTTTATCTCTATTATCGAAGTAGGCCCATACCATTTCTTAACTGCTTCAATCTTTTAAGGATTGCCTTAATCCAATTTTTTAAAACTACATGCCCAAGAAATGCTACTCTATCCATTCAGAACTTGCTCTTTGAGAACTTGTCATATAATTAATGATATCCCTAGAAAGGACCATCTTTAAGTGCTACTTAAACTTCTCTCTAGACCCCAAATACACTAAAATATCATTAACAAAAACTATTACAAATTAATCGATCAATAAACTATCCAATCATCTTGCGTTCATCAATTTAAAAAACATCATTAAAAACTCATAATAATTATATTGAGTTTTAAAGGCTGTATTTGAGATGCTCTTCTCCCTTGTCCTTAATTGATGATATCCAATTTGAAGATCAATTTTAGAAAAGAATTGAGCTCGGATCCCTACAACTGGCAAAACATTGTTGGCTTCTTGAATCACTAAACTCAGGACCTATCAAAATCCATGTCCTAATACAGACCAGCACGTTTACTAATAGTTACAGAGAGACTACCATTTTCTTAGTTTTTTCTACGATGCAGTAACTTAAAGGTAGGCCGACTCTTGTTACAATCTGAAAGTTCATTTAAAACTATTCGCTTTGTGAATCAAACGGCACGGTAAGAGTACTTTTGTTTTCTTCTAAAATTATAGATGGGACTAAATACAAGACTCATAATTAAGCCTAGCTACTATAAGGTGTCAAAATTAGAACATTTGTAGGGGCACGCATGGTTGGAAGGCGTGTCTTGCGGAGCATACGAATTGACCGGAGGAGAGTCCCTATAAAAACCTCAAAGGGTGCGTGAAGATAGTATGCCTACCAGCTTAATCATTGCTTCCCTAATACACCAGCTTCTAATACCAAAGGCTGCCATGAGATCCACTAAACAATTCCAATTTGTTTGTTTGGCCTTGCTCTTCATTTCGGGAGCGTGGCCTTCTAAATCCACAGCTCGAACCCTCCTGGATGCACCCATGTATGAGAGGCATGAGCAATGGATGACTCAGTATGGACGCGTGTACAAGGATGACAACGAGAGGGCAACCCGTTACAGCATATTCAAGGAAAATGTTGCACGCATAGATGCTTTTAACAGTCAAACCGGAAAATCTTACAAACTTGGTGTCAATCAATTTGCAGATCTTACAAATGAAGAGTTCAAAGCTTCACGCAATAGGTTCAAGGGCCATATGTGCTCTCCACAAGCAGGTCCATTCAGATATGAAAACGTTTCTGCAGTGCCTTCTACCATGGACTGGAGAAAGGAAGGAGCTGTAACCCCTGTCAAGGACCAAGGACAGTGTGGTAAGTGCCTATCCTTGTTTTTATAAGAATGAGATCTTAGAGAGGGATACTTTTCTAACCTTTGTTTTGTTTGTGCTGAATCAAAACGTAGGTTGTTGTTGGGCATTTTCGGCAGTGGCAGCCATGGAAGGAATCAATAAGCTCACAACTGGTAAATTGATCTCCCTTTCAGAGCAAGAGGTTGTTGATTGTGACACCAAGGGTGAGGATCAAGGCTGCAACGGTGGTCTGATGGATGATGCCTTCAAATTCATTGAAAAAAACAAGGGTCTAACAACTGAAGCTAACTACCCATACAAGGGAACACATGGCACTTGCAACACTAAAAAGGCTGCCAACCACGCAGCAAAGATTACCGGGTTTGAAGATGTGCCAGCAAACAGTGAAGCTGCATTGATGAAGGCCGTTGCCAAGCAACCAGTTTCTGTTGCTATTGACGCTGGTGGATATGATTTCCAATTCTACTCGAGTGGCATCTTTACAGGAAGTTGCGGCACTCAACTAGACCATGGTGTCACTGCTGTTGGATATGGAGTCAGCGATGGATCAAAGTATTGGCTAGTGAAGAACTCATGGGGTGCACAATGGGGGGAAGAGGGATACATACGAATGCAGAAAGATGTATCCGCAAAGGAAGGACTATGTGGCATAGCTATGCAAGCCTCTTACCCCACTGCCTGATCAGATGTTCCAAAAAGTTGCAGAAAGATTAATGAATTTAATCTCTTTGGCAATCGACATAACATGTATTTTGCAACTTCAAAAAGGTTGTGGGATTAAAGTCACCAATATAATCAATTTCAAACTTCCTAAATTCTAATTTTCTTTCCTCATTGTGCAATTAAAATAATGTGAACATATCAATAAAAGCCAAACGTAAATTTAAATAAACATACAACACAAAATAACATTTAAATGTACACTATATACGAATTGATTACAGTAAATGCCAACAGATGGACCAAAATCGCAGCCAAAACCACTATTACATGTCAATCAGATAAGCAAACCACAAGGGTCAAAATCGATACATTTTGAAGGGCATGCAGATTTGGAAGGCATGCCTTGAAATATCAAAACTACAAATGAAGGAGCATATCACCATATAAAACCTCGAAGGGTGTGGAGAGCCAGCGTGACTGCATCGCTTCCAAGTCCTACCATTAGGTTCACCAACCAATTCCAATGAATTCTTTTGCCTTCGCTCTTCAATTTAGGAGCTTGGTGTTCTAGATCGATGGCACGAACCCTCCAGGATGCATCAATGTATGAGAGGGGTGAGCAATGGATGACCCAGTATGGGCATGTATACAGAAACGATGCTGAGAAGACCACACGTTACAACATTTTCAAGGTTCCTTTTTTCATTTTAATGAATTGCTTAGTTGTCCAGAAACAAGTGCTGGCAGTAGAGAATATTCGAGATAACAGCGAAAAAATAATTGTAAGAAATATTATGAATGTGTGTACTCTTGTTCTTGTATTCTATGCAAAAGAATTTTCTTGATACTTAATTATAGATGTGCTCTCCACAAGCAGGTCCTTTCAGATAAGAAAATGTTCCTGCTGTGCCAGCTTCAGCTGATTGCAGAAAGAAAGGAACTACTACCCTTGTCAAGGACCAAGGCCGGGGTGGTAAGTACTCAATCCTAGTGAAAACAGTACTGAGCTTATATATAAAGACATACTTTCTAAGACATTTTTTTTCTTCTTCTTGTTGAATCAAAATGTAGGTTTTTGGTGGGCATTCTCGGCAGTGGCGGCCATTGAAGGAATCAGAAAGCTAACATCTGGTAAATTGATCTCCCTTTCAGAGCAAGAGTTTATTGATTGCGACACTAAGGCTGAGGATTAAGGATGCTAAGGTAATTTGATGGATGATGCCGTCAAATATCCATTGAACAAAACAAGGGCCTAACTACCCATGCAAGGTTGGCACCTGGAATGCTAACGAGGCAGCCATCCACGCAGCAAAGATTGCCGGGTTTGTGTTAGAATCTTGATTAAAATTATAATGATAGTTTATTAATAAATTTTATTAATTTAAGCATTTAAATTTTTAATGGCGTTGTATAAAATTTAAATGATTAATGACTATATAATTAATATTTAATTATTTTATTAGGCTAACATCTATGATAATTAAATTAATTTGCTATACTTAATTGTTTTAAATATATTTCATAATTGATACATGTGAGATGAAAATTATATAACTTTCATTGTCATAAATTCTTAAAAAAGATTAAAAAACATTGGTTGTATTTTGTTTTCCTAATCTTTTCCATTTAATTTTTGACACAGGAATGAGCGAAACATAAGAGGTTTATTACAAGTTAAAAACCTTTAAAAATTAGGAACTCCATAAAAAAAAAACTAACTAAGAATAATATTTATTTTTCTAAAAAAGTCATATATCAATCTCTTCAGGTTCGAAGAAACTCATTCTCGAGTCTAGTCTTTAGTTAGAAGTTGTTCTCCATTAAGAACACTTTTTTGTGTGTGAATCACCTCATCATAAGTTTATAATAAATATTTTTGCAAATCACCTCATCATAAGTCTCACCATCAGGTTTTGAATAATATCAACTCACGTAGATGGAAACAACAAATTAGTTCCTAAATGTCCTTTTCTCAAAGGGAAATTTTCTCATTCTCTCATGCACAAATTAGTTCCTAAATGTCCTTTTCTCAAAGGGAAATTTTCTCATTCTCTCATGCACAAGCACATCATATTCTACAACCTTTTTCAACTATAGTTGTTGTAAGAGTCAAATTTCTAGTACAAACCTATGTCTAATGTCATAACCCAGGTTCATGATTAGCAACATAAGAGTGATGTTGAAAGGGCACCTTACCTACATTAAGTCCCAAAACGGATATATTAAAAGAACAAGTTATTTAAAGATACACAACATTTGATAATCTTCATAAATATAATATTATTTAAAACTAATGAAACCAAATGATAGTTCAAAACTTCTTATTAGTAATTAAAACAAAAACAATAATCCATAATACTCATTACATTGTTAAAAATCCAAACTTAATTAAAATAAGGTAATAATAGAATGTCTAAGATATCAAATCAAAACTAAAAAGAAAGCCTCGTGAAATAAGTAAGGCATATTGACCAAAATTAAAGAAGTAGGAACATGACAAAGTCCACTTGCTATTAGAAACTAACCTAAAATAATATTAAGAATGAGAGGTAGGTTTAACTAATTTAGTAAGGGAATAATATTTAATATACATGTTGGATATTAATGGTATTAATAGTTTGCTAGTTGATTTATCTACACACATACATACACACTTACTAAACATATTATCATAAAGTAGTGAAATACATGTCAGCGATCAGATGACACTAGAAGATGACCTCTGTGAGATCATTAATCCCCACAAACTGATGTCTTTCTCATCAGCTAGGTATACAGAATACTATGTATACATAGGCTAACTACTTTTTGTTAGTATGAAGTTACTGGCATGTCCTGTATCAAGGTATAATAGATATTCATATAATCATAACAAAAAATATCATATCAAATAAAATTTAGTTCAACAGGAAGCGAGTGAAAATTTAAGAATAAATAAATACTCGAAAAATATAACAACATATATAACTATTCAAAAGATTAACTAGTTGCACTTATCATATAATCAATATATGAATTTATTTATATTATATGCATATTAAATATTATTTCACTCACCCGGAAAAATATAGATTAAAAAAAATATCAAATGAAAGACTCGAAAAACTCATTGAGGATCATTAGAAAAACCTACAATGAATACACGAAATATACTCAAAAGCAACTCAAAACAATACAAATAAAAGATTCAAATACATAAAAGAAAACTAGGTTTAGGGACTATGATGATAATTTTTCAGAATCAAGACCAAAATATAATTTTACCAAAACTGGCCCAAACTATAAATACATAACCATACTAAATTTTGACCTATAAACCATCTTCAATTCTGTCTAGAATGACACAGGGACCAAATTTTAATTTTTTTAAAAGTTCAGGGACTAAAATGTAAACCCTAAAATTAAGGGACCAAACTAAAAATATTCCAAATCAATTATCAAACTAAGATTCCCCATTCTTAGCCTCATAATAACACTGTCTAGAACCTCAAAATACATTTAGGGTTCAATTTATAATTTTTTCAAAGCTTAGAAACTAAATTGTAATTTTTATAAATCAATGACCAATATAAATTTTTATCATCTTCAACCTCAAAACCATTTTATCCATATTTTCCAGCAAGGTTGAAATGAATTTCTTAACCTATAAAAATTTAATTTAAACAAATCAACTCACAAATCCTTATTTTTAACATAATACTCAAAATCAATCACTTAACATTAAACCCTTAATAATCATAATCAATCTTAACAACATAAAATTCAAATACTTATAAACCCTAATTTTTTTTAATCATTATATAAACAAACTATAATCGAAAATAATATGAAAGAGAAACACTTACTTGATACTTCCACCTTTCTTGAACCAAAAACTCAAGATCAAAAACTAAAATCCTTAATTTGATGAGGGGAGGTTATAATGGCCACAAGAATTAGAAGAGAGAAAAATATTCTCTTGCAACCAAGGTTGTCAAGCTTGAAAGTTAACTCGTAAAGTCATATGATTTTACGAGTTAACTTGTATATACTGTGTACAATCAAGTTAGAAACTCAAAAATTAACAAACTTGATCAAACTTGGTCAAACTAGTCAACTCAGTAAACTCGGACCGAGTTTACAAGTTTGACAAACTCTTCAACTCTCTGTGTATTTGTTAGCCATTAAAATACGCTTGTTAAGTGTTGATCTATATGTCCATCTCAAACTCTTCTCCATCCTTAGTTATGCACCACACACGCCTTGTTGCAGATTGATGATCTAGTGGTAGTAGACTAGTAGTGGTAGGAATCCACCATAGATGGTGATCCCTACTTCCTTGAACGGTGGATGATAAGCCCATCGCCATCAAAATCAAGATTGTAGCTGAAATCAAGAAACAAGAACTCCACTTTTCCATTTCTTGAAAAGAAATTAACACAAACATCAATTACAAAAAAGATAGAACAAAAACACCTTGAAGGTCTAGAAAAGATCACTAGAAGCAACACGGTTTCAACTAAAAGAGACAATGAGGCTTCATGCCACGTTATGTGCATCAAGATTGTTCAAAACCCTCAAGATCAAGTCCCTACCAAGCAGATCCAATAGGTCTTGACAAAGAGGAGGCCTCTTTCCTCTCTCATCTATTTTCTTTTCCTTTCTTGTTCCTTTTTTCCTATTGTCTCGATTGTTAGAACCAATCCCTCGTCTATATCTTTACTTTGGTTCTCCTATAATTCTTGATTGTTGGTATATGCCATCGAAGTGGAAGAATAAAAAGGAGGAGGAATGTGAATCATATTTGTATTTTTTTCTTTTTAGTAAGGTTTTATGTTTTATTTATTGTCGTGTTGTGAGATTGAGATTCTGCCCAATCATAGTGATATAGATTGCTTTGTGAGTAAAAACGCTATGGATTTGGATAGTATATGGATCATTTTACCTTTTATTGCATTTATCGATTGCCTTAGCAGTGGAGTAAAGTCATAGAAATTGATCTTTAATTATTTTTTAAGTTTTAATTAATTTTTTTGAATTGTTT